CACAATTTTATCCTCTGCTTTGTACTAAATCTCAAGGACCAAACCTATTCGACGGATTCCAGGCAAAACCTTCTTGGAAATTGATGTCAAAGGGGGAGAGAGAGTTCACATCAAAGCTTGTAGGAGAGAGAGATCACATCAAGGGAGAGAAACGGTCTCAAGGACCAAACCTACAAGAGAGAAAGTATTAAGGGGGAGAGAGAGACCTCAAGGGGGAGAGAAATACTCAAGGATCCCAGATGCTTGATGTTCAAGAGGAGAGATGCCACATGTCCTTCTGGGTGAAAGACATGCTCATATGAACTCATTTGAATTAAGTTCTATTCAGCTCTGATTTTATTCTTGGGGACATGTTGAATCAAATGTGGTACCTTGTACTCACTCTCTGCATGTCATCCCAGTCTTGGCATTCTTGTGGTTTCCTTTGTTTGCTCTGGCTAGTGGACGTACCTGTGTTATCTAACCTTGTTTGTGCAGGTTCATTCCATCCTAAGCCAACTCGAGACCACAAGGTAAGTATATGCATCAAAATCATGAGTATGAGGAGTTCTTGCTTATGTACATACTGTTTGCAAGAAGGACTCATGAGCATGAAGGTATTTTTCCTTAATAATCTTTTGCTCTGATGCATATGGCCAAGATACATGTAACACATTGCCTACTCTGTCATGATCATGCTCTCACATGCCTCTATATTTCATATTTACATGAGTGCATACATGTAGGGGGAGCCTATGCTTGCTACATGTTCTTCCAAAGCTTTACTTGTTGTTCTGTATATCTTTATCTAAAGCTTTGATGTATGTTGCCATCAATTACCAAAAAGGGGGAGATTGAAAGCGCAAGTGCTCCCTAGGTGGTTTTGATAATTGATGACAACATATCTCTTGTTGGACTAACACTTCTATCTAGCATGTTTCAGATAAGTTCAACAATGGAGTGGCATGGACTAAAGGTTGTGGGAACTCCTTCAAGATGCTAAGGACAAGGGATTGGCTAAAGCTTCAAGCTCAAGACTCTTCACCTTTACATTTTGGTGATCCAAGACCACATTGAGTCCATAGGAAAAGCCAATACTATCAAGGAGGGATGAGGTGTTGCTTAATGAGCCTCTTGCTTCATGTGCTTAATGATATGCTCCAAAATCCTCAACTACTTTCCCATATCCACATATGACCTAGACCCTAAGCCAAACTCGGTCCTACCGATTCTTCCTATCCGGCGCCACCGAGTTTCACTTGTCATAAGCCACTGCCAAACCCTAATCAGCTCGGTATCACCGATGGGATCTCGGTCTCACCGAGATGGGCTTGCAAACTCTCTGTTACCCATTGCAATATTCTCGGTCCCACCGAGATATGCAATTGGTCCCACCGAGTTTGCTTGACCAAATCTCAGTTTCACTTATTACCCAAATCGGTCCCACCGAGTTTGAGTAATCGGTCAAACCGAGTTTTGGATTTACCCTAACCCTAGCACATCGGTCCCACCGAGTTGATCCAGTTGGTCCCACCGAAATCACTAACGGTCACTAGGTTTACATTTTCGGTCCGACCGAGTTTATTGATTCGGTCCCACCGAGATTGGAAAACTTTGTAACGGTTGGATTTTGTGTGGAGGCTATATATACCCCTCCACCTCCTTCTCATTCGAAGAGAGAGCCATCAGAACACACACACCATTCCAACTCATATGTTCTGAGAGAGAACCACCTACTCATGTGTTGAGACCAAGATATTCCATTCCTACCATATGAATCTTGATCTCTAGCCTTCCCAAGTTGCTTTCCACTCAAATCTTGTTTCCACCAAATCCAAATCCTATGAGAGAGAGTTGAGTGTTGGGGAGACTATCATTTGAAGCACAAGAGCAAGGAGTTCATTACCTACACACCATTTGTTACTTCTTGGAGAGTGGTGTCTCCTAGATTGGCTAGGTGTCACTTGGGAGCCTCCGACAAGATTGTGGAGTTGAACCAAGGAGTTTGTAAGGGTAAGGAGATCACCTACTTCGTGAAGATCTACCGCTAGTGAGGCAAGTCCTTCGTGGGCGATGGCCATGGTGGGATAGACAAGGTTGCTTCTTCGTGGACCCTTTGTGGGTGGTTGCTTCTTCGTGGACCCTTCGTGGGTGGAGCCCTGTGTGGACTCGCGCAACCGCTGCCCTTGGGTGGAGCCCTGTGTGGACTCGCGCAACCGTTACCCTTCGTGGGTTGAAGTCTCCATCAACGTGGATGTAGGATAGCACCACCTATCCGAACCACGGGAAAAACATCCGTGTCTCCAATTGCGTTTGATCTCTCCAAACCCTTCCCTTTACATTCTTGCAAGTTGTATGCTTTACATTCCGCTGCTCATATACTCTTTGCATGCTTGCTTGATATGTATTGTGTGTGCTGAAATTGTGCCTAAACCCCACTTAAACCGAAAAAGCTTAAAAATTGCAACTTTAGCACCAAGTGTCTAATCACCCCCCCTTTAGACACATCTACTTCTAGATCCTACACAATTCTATAAAAGTTTCTCTTTGTGCATCACATGCTCACGAATCATGAATCGAAGAGATAACACTTGAATAGATAAAGATGATTGTGGGAATAAATGACATGCTGTGATATTTGTAGATGACTTGCAATATTTTCCCTAGTGAACTTCTCCATGTTCATAAGTTGAAGTATTCTTTTAGGTACAGCCTCTGCAACCAACAGTAAGAGAAAGGACGCAACATGAATGGGTTTGCTGCAACCTGCAAGAACATTTAACAGAAAGCAAAAGGTAACGTCGGGAGGTGTTTTTTATGTCAATCCCGAGCTCACCTGACCATACCACCCTCGGCTTCTTCGACACTGAGCCTCGTCGTTGTCCTGACCTTCATGGTTGTTGTCTTCGCCTTTCTTTTCGCTATTCAGTTCTTTCCTCTTCTTGTTGGGCCACCCACTCAACACCAACGCTGCCTGTAGAAATCCAGCCCGCAACCAAATCAGCAAGCATAATTGCAATGCAAACCAAAAAAAATTCTCATAATCCCTGGCATGTAAAGTAACCTTTATGCAGAAGGAAAACCGAGCCTCAACTCGTACAAACTGAAATCCGGGCTCAAAGAGGCAAATATTTCTCCCACCGAAGGAGACCGCCGCAGAATCTTACGCGGATAGAACCGAAAGAGCGGAGCATTGGGGTCTCACCTCGATGTCCCAGACGAGGTCCCGGTCCTCAGGCTTTTGTTAGATATATAGATGGCGTCACCCAAAACTGTGTGATCGGTTCCATGAAACCAGGCCCATGATAGTCAAGCTACAAAAACATCTAGCAATCATAGTGGTATAGATAACAGAAGTACCAAGATTGTAGAAGCTCGCTAACCTTTTCTGTTTAGATTACACGATTAATTAGAGTTATGCATTGTACCATCAAATTCTGCAATACATAGATTCCAAATTCTAGTTCCACATTATACCAAAATCAAATTCCAAAAACTATGAAGTCAAATGAATCGTCCCACTCTCCGCAAGGCAATTTCAGACATGTGGTGGTATATCGAAACAACAAAGTTAACTAACTGAAAACAGCAGAAGCAATCAACAACTACGTATGTCTTTCAGAGCAGTAATAACTACCTGATTAAGCTTGGTGTGCTTTTTGATCCAATGAAAGACATCACATGCCTGAAAGTAATTCACGGAGCACTTGAATCATCTGGCAATACTTCTTGATAGGACTGAATCCGGGGTCCCTTGAGGCGTAGAGACCCGGCGTATGGTTATACTGGGCCTCTTGACGATCCCCTCTGTCGCGGTGGCCGCCTGACGCGGGCGGTGGCGCTAGCAGCGCCTACGGCGGCGGTGCACCCATCTCCCCACCGGTGCCACCGTCCCCACCACCATCTTCTATCCACGGCAGCACATGAAGTAGGTGATGGTGGCGTGGCGAGGGAGATTATAAGTGGAGTAGCAGGCGGTGGCGAGGCTGGAGAAGAGCAGCAGAGAGATCGGGATTGGGTAATGGTGTGATGCGGCTGTGGCCAAAAGATCTAGGTCGGATTTGTTCGCCGGCGCCTTAGTCCTCCTATTTCTCATCTAGCTGACATGGAAGAGTACCCCTTTCTCCTCTGGAATCAATGGCGACGAGACCACACCTGGATCCCGGGAGACACCCGCACATGGCCACCGATGGTGGAGGGGAACGGGGAGCAGATCCATTGCGGCGGCATCCTCCCATCTGTCCTCGTCGACGGCAACGGCGACCTTCAGGCGATGGCGCCCGAGCAGAACCGCGGCGCCATCGGCTGAACCACGGCGAGGTGGGTGGATCGGGGCGGCGCTGTGAGAGGGACGAGGGGATGGGAGGTTGCGTGTGATGTGATGGGGTCAAAGAAAAGGAAGTGGCGTACGTCGGCAGAGAACGGACCCAAGCGATTTCCTTCTCCTCCCTCTTTCTTCTAGACCAACCAGCGCTCGCGCGTCTCCAGTTGTTTTTATTTCATAGTGCTGCTGGCGTGGACAAACCGATCGATCGCCCCTTGCGCGACTCTTATTGGGTTGGATGGCTATCTGGCAAAGCTTGCGTGTGAAGTAAGTGTAAGAGGGATAGGCATTCACGGGGACGCTAGCACAAGATGGACTACCTTCGCGTGAGGACACACAGGCGCCCGCGTCACACGATCGCGTAGGATCGGACGGCGCCGGATGCGGCTTATACAAGGTCAATCTTTTTTTTTTTTCCTGAGCGGTGATGGGAATAGGTGCCGTGTGTGGATGTTGGAGCAAGGATAAGAAGCGGTGCTACCCTAAAAAAAAAGGATAGAAGCGGTGCCGCCCACGGACTCGGCGCAGGCGCGCAGTCGTCCCTGCCCCGCCCGCAGACCGCAGTATATACAGTCCGACCCGCGGGCCGGATCCCCCACACCCGTTCCGTTCCCCATCGCAGACGCTCCAGCCCAATTCCCCACAACCTAACCCTAGGCCCCGGCGACCTCTCCCTGCCCTGATCCCGCCGCCGGCGATGTCGTCGGAGCCGCCGCCCGCGGGGCCCTCCGAGGCCTCCAGCCCGTCGGCCTCCCCGCCGAAGGAGTCGGAGCCCTCCGGCTCCGCGGCCGCCGCCGCCCCCGCCGCCGCGCCAGGGGCCGCCCACGAGACGAACGCGCTGTGGGTCGGCAACCTGCCCGCGCACGCGGGCGAGGACGACGTCATGGCGGCCTTCGCCCCGCACGAGGCGCTAGACTGCGCCGTCACGCGCGCCGGCTCCCGCAGCTACGCGTTCGTCCTCTTCCGCTCCGTCGCCGAGTCCCGGGCCGCCCTCGAGGCGCTCCGCGGGTCCAAGGTCAAGGGCGCCTTCATCCGGGTCGAGTTCGCCCGGCCGGTAACTTCTCACCCCCTCCCTCCTTCCCCCACTCCGATCCGCTCCCACCTTGGATCCCCCCGGGATCTGGCTGCAGTATGATGTGAATTTTCCGGTAATTAGGACTTCGGTGCTTGTGATTTGTGGTTTATTTAGGCGGTGTGGGCTGAGGCCTCCAGCAGCTCTGATGCATGTAGTTATTCGAGCGGCGGCACACCGGATCTGCGGCGACGGGGGTGGTCCGGTCCAGGGGAGCGCGGCAAGCGATGGCAAAATGCTTCGCTTCTGCCCTAAGCGGTAGATTAAGCGTATTTTAAAATTTTGGCCAGAATTTGGCTGTTTTTGAACTGCTTCTGCTTAGCTGCTTGTGCAATGATGGCAGTATGTCATTTATCTTATTATTAGGGTCTGTATGGGAGCTGTTTCCTTCAGATTCTGGCCAAATCATGGCTACATGATCTGCATTTGGCTATGACTATTTGAACTGAACTGCATTTTAGTTGTCATTTTTCTTGCTGTGTGAAACTGATGTGTATTTGTTATGTTAAGTGCATTTTAGATGCTACTTCAACTACCCATGTGCCATGTTTCCTATTTTCTTATTTTAGATGCACAAAACAGTCAAATTCTGGCCAAGTTTAAAAAAAATGCTCAAACGCGCTTAAGCGCCCATTGCTCTAAGCTGTGGCTTTCCGCTTTTTTGAACATTATCCTTTATAAGTAGGTACAGAAATACTCCTAGATTGGTGATCGTTTCTTGTTCTATGGTGAAATTGCTATGCTGGTGTTGTGTAAAGATTTATGCCCTCATGATGCTTACTTGTGTTTGTTGATTGGTTTTTACAGGCTAGAGCTGTTAGGAACCTATGGGTTGGAGGAATTAGTCCGTCTATTTCAAAGCAGGAGGTAGAGGAGGAGTTTCAAAAGTTTGGGAAGATTGAAGGTGTTGCATTCTCCCATGATCAAACTTCTGCATACATCGACTTTGAGAAGCTGGAAGATGCCATTTCTGCCCATAGAGCCTTGAATGGGGCAGATTTAGGGGGCAAGGAATTATGTGTTGATTTCCAGAGGTCCAGAGGCAGAGCGGTATGCATCTATTATTTTTGACTGAGTTTGTGAATAGCACTTCTAGGCTGCAGTTTTTGAAGGAACGCTGTCTTACTATTTAGTTATTTGTACTGATTTGGATAGGAACGGTCGGAAGCAGGCAACTTCAACAGTAGAGGATCATTGCCACCCGGTGAAATTGGAGTTGGACATGCAAAGGTACTGCTGTTTACTTCTCTTGGTTCTTGCTGTTGTACTGTCCTCTTTGATCTGCGGGTTGCTTACTGTCATATCATGTTCTGTTTGTCAGGGTTCTGCTGGAGTACGAATGAGAGAGGCGAAAAATCCTACCAATGTTCTCTGGGTGGGTTTACCCAATACACATAAAGTTAATGAGGAGGCACTAAGGCGGGCTATGGCAGCACATGGTGTGGTTACAAACATCAAGGTTTTTCCAGAAAGGCAGTATGCTTTTGTGGAGTTTGCAACCATTGAAGGAGCTTCTAATGCTAAGAATCTTCTAGATGGGCGTCTTTTCAATGATACAAGGATTCATGTTCTTTTCTCCAGCAGTGGGCTTGCACCCAGTAAACTTGATAGCCTAACACCGCCTGCTGGGTTCCCTAGATCAGAGATGTACAATGATAGTCCATATGCCGCACCTGATTATTTTGGTGCTGGTCGCAGTAGTCATGGCACATCACAAGGGTATGATCCTCGACGTGGAAGATCAAGATACTTGGACTATGGTGCAATGCCAATCACTGGTGGTATCCTTCCAGCACCTGAAGCTGGCTCATCTTTGTTGACTGGACATTCTGGTCATAATGCGCTTGATCCGAGAGAAGCCAAAAGGGTGAGGTTGGATGCTGGCATGGACCCTTACCATGTAAGGGCAGGCAGTGAGGGTCTTCAGCCAGTTGCTGATGAGAGCTTTAGCTCTGTTATTCGGATCCAGGGCACGGTACACCAAACGTCATCCCTTGGGCACTTCTGGCGTGGCAGTATTGCCAAAGGTGGATCTCCTGTTTGTCGTGCTCGCTGCTTGCCTATAAGGAGGGGCATTGAGATACCTTTGTGAGTACAAACAACTTCAACTTTTTTCTAAAGTTTCTTGTATAGTTTACTGACCTTGCATATATTCCACTTCTCTTTGCAGGCCGGACATTGTTAATATCTCCGCTAGAACAGGATTAGATATGCTGGCAAAACACTATGGAGATGCTTCGGGTTTTGAAATTGTCTTCTTCTTACCAGACAGTGAAGATGATTTTGTGTCTTACACTGAATTTCTGCGGTACTTGGGCTCAAAAAATCGCGCAGGGGTTGTTAAAGTTGATGCAGGAACCACTTTGTTTTTGGTCCCGCCATCTGATTTCCTGACGAATGTTCTGCAAGTTGATGGTCCAGAGCGCCTTTATGGCGTGGTACTGCACATTCCACAGATGTCCAATGCTGCTGTCCAGAGACCTGTACTGACTGGACCAGAGTCACAAGCTTATTATGATGGTGGTGATACCATGCTAGCGATGCAAAGAAATTACAATATGGGCTCTGTTAATAGCAACCATCATCAGGATGCTGATTATCGGGGATCTTTACGTGAGGAAGCAGTTCAGTCAGGTGTATCAAGCTTTCCCATGAGCCAAATAGCAGGACAGCAAGAACAGTCACTCAAGCCTGATATTATGGCCACATTAGCTAAACTTATGCCAAATGTGCAGTCAACAGTTCCAGCAAATAGTCAGGTAACCCCGAGCTCCACAGGAAGACCTGTGGCATCACTGTTGCATGATGCATCTACTTTTCTTATCGTATGGGAAGATGAAAATCTAACACTGACCTCTTATTTATCCTTTGAGCAGGTGGGTAATCTTCAGCAATCGGGTCAGCAGTTCGGCAGGCAAGCTCCAGCAAGCTATGGGGGCATGGTCGGTGCTCAGGAGCAGCACCCAATACATACTGCTTACAACCCTGAGGTTACCTTAAGCTTGCCTCCACCACCTCCTCTCCCTACACAAGGACCAGTGTCTGCTCTCCCTACACAGCAGCAGTATCAACCAGAACACTATTACGCTCCTCAAAACAATTACGGTTCCTTAGGAACAGTTAGCCAGTCTAACTTCCAGTCAAGCAATACCAACCTACCAGTCCCTCCCCCACACCAAATGAATGATGGACCATTGGCAGCAAATAACCAGATGGGGAATTTGGCACAGCTCCATCAGTCAACGTCATTCCCCACTGATAGGGTAAACTCGGATTTCTCCTCTCAGGTACAACAGCAACAAAATGTTGCTTCTGGTTCTGCTCAAGCTACTGAAGAGGCGGATAAGAACAAGAAGTACCAGGCAACGCTCCAGTTTGCTCACAATTTACTGCTGCAGCTACAACGTGGATCTGGAAACCAATCTTGATATTTAGTACTGCTTCAGGTAAGCTCACCTCTGCACCTAGTGTGTTATTTTGTTTGCTATATCTTTTCTGCTAAAATTATGGATATAGTAATAGATTTAGCTAACTTAAGAGGATCAAACACAATTTTGCATGGATAAATCAAGGAGCATAAGTTTCCTGGGATGTTTGGTAAGGAATATTATAATTGACATAAGTTAAAAAATTGTGGTTGTTACCTGGAATATTGATAACTGCCAATCATCCTGGATAGTGCTAAACTAATCATAATACTTAGAATGTGAGACATAAGTCACACCTAGCATATCCTAATTGCACTAATATAGACCGACAGAAAACCTTTCAGCTATCATGTAATTAATTAACAAGTCATGGTATAGACTAGGATAGGTGCTGCAGATGAATGTTGCATCGTCGTGGTGGGTATGTGGTTGTGCAATACGGGTACAATTAAGCGGATCAGAACTAGTGGCTTAGATAATAAAGTTTATCTGACAAATTCACACATATATCCTCTTGATAGTTTTATGTGCATTATCTGTTGATATTTGTTGCTTGCATAATAAATTGATATCAGCGTATTCTATCTTGATTGAATTCTGGAGTTCTGTTCTACATAGGGTCTGTAGTTTTGACTGCAGTAGTTTAAGAAGTCATGGTAGAATGTTGCATAGCTTGCTAGAGGAATTATTAGTTTTTTGATTGATATATAGATATATATGTATGAACATCTTTCATGTAATGGCCGGCCTTATTGAATCCAAACTGGTGATTTGAAACAAAGCAAAAACCATTACTCACTTGCATGTAAGTTGCAAGTCTGCAGTTCTCGTGGTACATCGAGATTCGAGACTACGTTTCTCATGCTACGATGAGACGATTTCGGCATGGTGCTTTGCTTTCCTTCGTGGACACTGCTGATGCCTCATCCCTGCGAAACCTCGGGTAGCATACGTTGCCCCCTAGCGGGGGCCATCAGGATTGTCTTAGCCCGAGAAACATTTGAAATACGCAGTGATGGGTGCGAAAGGGCTGTGCGAAGCCCTAGCTCCTGCAGAATGTGCGAATGATCTTCTCTATTTTGGGGGCACAAGACAATGCATAGCTTCATAGTCTTCTGTCCATTATATGATGCGCCAGAATTCCTGTGCGCTCACACCTATAGTTGCGTCGTTTTCTTGGAAACGCCGGGTTCATTCTCACACATCTGTAGTTGCGTCGTTTAAATCGGAGCACACGTCCGCTCAATTTTGCGACTGTTGTTTTCCATAACCGTAAACGACATTGAGCAGAACGAGCCGTCCAAATACGTAATTCAGATTTGCTACTGCGGGGCTGCTGCGTGGCGATGGCCACTGGCATTTAGGACACGCATCCTCTCCTTCCCTTCCGTTAGATTCGTTGTCTTGTTCTTTTTTTTTACTATCAAAGTGGAAGTCGATCCTTGTTCGCTCAAAGCAACGTCCATTCATCCCGCCGGATGCTTCTCTTGAACCAAAATATCAGTTGAAAGACGGCCTGCAAAAGTTTTGGTACGCTCTCAACCTCTTAATCCTGGGCCCTACAGGTTTTATTAGTAGCACGTACTTGGGGAACTTGCAGATGCAGTAACGAACCAGGTGCGCTCAACCTTACACATACTCCCTCTGTTGTAAAATAGATGACCCAATTTTGTACTTTGTACTAAAATTAGTATAAAACGAGTCATCTATTTTGGAATGGAGGGAGTCTTACCACGGAGCAAACCTTGGGATAGCACGTGGTGCAGTGGGACTGCCACTCCCTTCATCTTCATCGTCTTATAATGTAAGAGCGTTTTTAACACTACATTAGTATTAAAATGATCTTATATTATATTATGAGACGGAGAAGTAGGTAACATGGTTCTCCTCGTTGATTAGGTGCTCTTCCTTTTCTAAATACTCTATACATGCTCTGCAAATGTCCTGCCACACGACGCACCAAATCGTAACGAGGACGCTTTAGTATAAACTTCTAACCTCATCCTGTCTCTCCTTCCCTGTCTGCCTCTCCCCATCTAGCTTGTCCTATTTCTCTCTCGGCGTGTCGTCTGTTTCATGCTCATAATTATTATATGCACGTGGTGGTTGCAACGGCACTTCACCTCAACTGACTACCCCAATGTGGAGTAGTTAGTAGAATATGTTTGCTTTTTAAACGGGAAAAGGAGCAGGCGCGCCGATAATAGAACATCAAAATTGCTGTAAAAAAATAACAGGCACCAGATGCCGGTTACACAGATCACTGTATCACCAAGGGCGCTGACAACAGGAAAAAAGTTACAGTAACTTATCGTCTGAACAGTAAATTATCGTCTGTCAGCTCTACTCTTCTGTCTGGGGGAAGAGCTCGCTCTCAGTCCAACCGATTTTGCCTCCCAGATTCTCGGCCTACCTCCAATCCCGCCTAACGCATACGGTTACGCAAAGCCACAGCCACGTGCTGACTTTTCTTTTCCAAATAAAATAAAATGACGCTGCTATGCTAGGCGCACAAACCACGCACTATCTCCGCTCTGTCTAGTGTCAAAAACGCTCTTATATTATATGTCAAAAATGCTTTTATATTATGAGGCTGAGGATGTAGTAATTATTTTATTAGTGTTAGAAATGCTCTTATATTATGTGTCAAAAATGATTTTATATTATGAGATCGAATAATTATTTTATTATAAGTTGAGTCAGCTCGTACAAATGAACATCGTATTATTCCGATTTGTCTGACTCTACCTGAACAAAACACACGTATGACAACTTGTATCTGACGGAAACGTGTGATCTGTAGGTACTGGCTTGCTCGATCTCCTCGCCTGCAGCGGAACAGAATCTCGTCCCGGCCCATGATGGTGTGCTGGCGGTTATCTATCCTCACCCTGACGTGGAATCGGTTGCTACCTACCGGAGAGGGACAGACAATCAAGCGTCAACTGCACTAGTGCACTAGTAGCTTCTCTGCCTCATACTATCCAGAAAGGGAAAACTCAGATATCTCCTTTTGCATCCCTGTATTGCTTTTTAGGTGTCGGATATTTTCAGCTTTGAACATTATGAGCGTCTATTTGTCTATGCGGCCTCCTTGGCATGACATGTGGTACTTGTTTGGTTTTCTCGGTTTTGACATGGATTAAATCTGTTCTTGTTATGAGTTCATGTGTGACTTTGCTTTTTTCTTTTGCTAAATTGGTTCGAAGTTATAGGTTTCTACATCAAACTTTGTAGGTGTGCAAGAACCAGGAAATATATTATGGTAGATTCATGTTTTAAGCTAATATCTCTGGGGCCGTTTGAAGTTATAGGTTCTGTTAATCTTTGTTGGTTTGCAAGAAACAGGTAAGAGA